GTGGGAAGGTAAATGTTTTACTGTTTTTATCTGATTGTTATTAATGAATGTTTGTCTTTATATACATACATCTTTTATAATGGCATTCTCATTAAAAAAATTAGGATAATAGGAAGACCTTAAAACTTGATCATAAGCTGACTAAAATCAATATATTAAGGGGTTTTGTTTGAAATATTTTCTTTCTAAAGTTCATATATTTGGGGGGGCAGCAAAAAAAAAAAGTTCATATATTTGTTTCTATGATATAAAATTTTGCTAGTACTTGAATATTCGCAGGATTTTCAAAACTCTTTATAGTAGATTACACCAGTGCCTTTTTTTTCTTATTTGCCCAATGCTATAAAGTTATGTTTTTGCATAGTTGCTCCAAAAATATTATTTGACAATTAAGACATGTTCTTTTTCAGTTGATCAGCTAAGAAAAAAACTTTTGAAGAGACATAATTTAGGAAATATGCTAAAAATAGTTTACAGTTTGTGAAAAGGGAAGTTTTGGAGGGTGATTTTTTTTTAAATAAGTTTGCCTGATAGTGCTCCACTGTGTAAAACAACCAACTTGAATTAATGTATACTCTTAGCCCCCAAACTTACATTCCTTATTAATTACTTGAAATTCAAGGGAATTGGCATGTGTTTTACTTTGCATGCTCTCTTTAATTAGATAATTGCTGCCTGCAGTATCTTCGTATAGTTGTTAGAAATTTTTAGATATGTATTTTCCATTTTTAAAATAATTTTTTCTTCAAAGCAAAGTTCAGCATTAGGTATTTTATCTGCAGTAGAGAGTGGTATGGCTATATCTTTGGTTCCTTTTTTCTTCCCTATTTTGCTGGTTCAATAAGCAGTCCAGTAATAAGCAATAATTTATAAAGATACTGAAATAGTTTTCTGCCTATGTGTTTTGTCTCTTCTTTCTTTAATGCTGCTGTAGTCATTTCCTGGAAGGATATTTTCCGTTAACAGCTATGTCTTGGAAACAAACAACTAACATGCAGTAGGTTCCCCCTTCCCCCATCTTTTGGTAAGGACTATGATACAAAAATTTTGAAAATCATTACTTCATTAAAAATCAGCTAAACTGCAATCTTGAAACATAAATTATACCTAATCATTGATGCTTATGCTTTGGCTAATGTTAATTTAAATAGACTTTTGCATGTACACTTCAGAATATTATAAATATGTTTCTGCTTTATAAAAGTGATCAAATGAGGAATGATCCTTTAGTAGTTAACCACTTTTCTATCTGGTATTACAGTGTTTGGGAATTAATTTATGTGCTCAACAAAAAAATTGTCTCCAGATAGCTATTTGAAGTAACCTATGGTAGTAACTACCAAGAACAGTGTTGTCACAAGTTGAATCTGGAAAGGCATTGTAGGGCTAATGTACTAAGATTTTGATGGCTGTATGAATTTTCTTTTCTGAACTTGTGGATATCCATTGCACTGTGATTAGGTACTTTGCTGAATTGGGCAATAAAAAAAATTAAAGAATTGTGATTTCCAAAGACATAAAATGGCTTGTATTAAGAGCAAGCCTCTCCATTATGGAAGAGATTGAAATTCTGC